AAAGAAAAAAAACACAGAACGAATTGCAAAAGAAAAAGGGAGAAAGGTAAGATATAAAATTTATGCTACAAGATATATCAAGATAAAAAAAAAAAAAAAACATACCCAGGAGAGGAGCAAAAGGTAAACTCTTACCCCCCGAGATAAACAAAAAGGTTGATGGAAACTAATTAGGATGATGGAAACCCACAGGTAGAACAGGTTAACATCCAAAAAATAAAAATTAAACCTAAAAGAAAAGGACAAGAATACCCATGGAAGAAACAAAAACCCCTGAAAAAAGGAAGCTTTAGAGGGAAATTCAACCAGTAATTGCAAGAAGTTGTTAAAATCAGGATTAATTCAGCCATGCCAGACCCCCTGTAACACCCATTTTGCCAGTGAAAAAGCCTCACTCTGATGAATATCGATGTGCACAAGATCTTAGGACCATAAATGACGTTGTCCAGGACATTTATCCTACAGTGCCCAACCTTATACTTTGACGACCACAGGGCCCAGGGACAGCAAATGATTTTCAGTCCTAGACTCGAAGGATGCTTTTTTTCTGCATCCCAATAGATGAACAGGCTCAACTATTATTTGCCTTTGAATGGCAGTACCCAGAAACTAAAGCCATGCTCCAATACTGTTGGACTGTGTTGCTACAGGGATTTAAGAATTCCCAGCCCAAACTTGGGGAAATATTAGCAAAAGATTGAAGGAATGTTCAATTTAAATAGAGAATTCTTCTACAATATGTAGATGCCTTAACTACTAGCTGGTAATACTTACAAAGACTGTTTGCTCAACACCATCACAGTCTTGGATCATTTGGCAAAAAGAGAATATAAAGTATCGCCTCATAAGGCCCAGTTTTGCAAACAGGAGGTGGCATACCGGGGATTCCAATTGAAACAGGGCACTAGGAGCTTGATGGCTGATGGAAACCCAGCCATTGCTACAATAAAAATCCTGGAGAACCCGAGGCAGCTTCGTGGATTCTTAGGGATTATGGGGTTTTGCCGAATTTGGCCTTAAAGTGAAACCACTGTCTAATTCTTTGAAAGGACTGGACTCTGAACCTCTTGAGTGGACAAGAGACTGTCAGGCAGCATTGACACCTTAAAGGAAAAACTAGTTTTGGCGCCTGCACTAGGATTGCCCAGTTTACAGAAAACTTCCAAATTATACATTCATGAAAGGCAAGGAATTGAACTTGGGGTGCTAACCCAGACCCTGGGAAAACCCTCCAGCCACAGCCTATTTCTCAAAGAAACTAGATCACCAGACAAAGGGATGCTACCATGCCTCCCGGCAACAGCAGCTCCCTGTGACATCTCACAGGAAGCAGAGAAATTCACTCTGGGCAACCTACTATGGTATTTGTACCACACCAGGTCCTAAAAGGGATGTTTTCATGAACCTAATTAGACCACATTTGAAGGGTCCTCATTTATAAAGAACCAAGCCTGTAAATACCAGGCACTCCCTACTGCCTTGCTCCAGATGAGAGTAGCACTCCAAAGTGGGCTTAAATTAAACCCTTTTGAAATATGGGAGAC